GGAAGAAACTTGTGTCATTTTGCGAAAAATTGTCATTTTGCAAAGCAGGGAACCGATCATTGCAAAGCGAAAAAACCCCATTCAGACCATCGTTTTGCAATCGCAAAAAGATCGTTGTAATGCGGTTTTGTTGTAATGTGGGGCAATCGTAAAGCGAGGCACCACTGTATATGAACATACACATAGACTTTGAATATTAAGGAAGAAACTTGTATTACTCTATTATAATCCTTCGGATTCCCTAAATTTGACTAAAGCTGTTGAATAAGATTGATGAACCATGGTAACACTGACCATAGGACTGAAACTGCTGCCAGAACTCCACCAGAAACAAGTTAAGTATTTGTTGTTGTTTAGTCATTAAGTCATGTCCAACTCTTCGTGACCTCATGGACCAGAGCACGCCAGGCCTTTCTGTCTTCTACTGCCTCCCGGAGTTTGGTCAAAGTCATGTTGGTAGCTTCAATGACACTGTCCAACCATCTCTTCTTCTGTTGTACCCTTCTTCTCTTGCCTTCACACTTTCTCAACATTAGGGTCCTTTCCAGGGAGTCTTCTCTTCTCATTAAATGACCAAAGTATTGGAGCCACAGCTTCAGGATCTGTCCTTCTAGTGAGCACTCAGGGGTTAATTTCCTTTAGAATGGATAGGTTTGTTCTCCTTGCAGTCCAGGGGACTCTCAAGAGTGTCCTCCAGCACCACAATTCAAAAGCATCAATTCTTTGGTGGTCAGCCTTCTTTATGGTCCAGCTCTCACTTCCATACATCTCTACAGGACAAACCATAGCTTTGACTATGTGGAACTTTGTGGGCAAGGTTATGTGTCTGCTTTTTAAGACACTGTGTAGGTTTGTAATCGCTTTCCTCCCAAGAAGCAGGCGTATTTTAATTGTGTGACTGCTGTCCCCATCTGCAGTGATCATGGAGCCCAAGAAAGTAAAATTTGTCACTGCCTCCATATCTTCCCCTTCTATTTGCCAGGAGGTGATGGGACCAGTGGCCATGACCTGACCTTAGTTTTTTTTATGCTGAGCTTCAGACCATTTTTGCACACTCATTAAGAGCTTCTTTAATTTCTCCTCACTTTCTGCCATCAGAGTGGTATCATCTGCATATCGGAGGTTGTTGATATTTCTTCTGGCAATCTTGATTCCAGCTTGGGATGATCAGAGCCTCAGCTCCAGGTCTTCTTTTTGCTGACTGTATAGAGCTTCTCCATCTTTGGCTGCAAAGAATATAATCAATCTGATTACGGTATTACCCATCTGGTGATGTCCATGTGTAGAGTCGCCTCTTGTGTTGTTGGAAAAGAGAGTTTGTGATGACCAGCTTGTTCTCTTAGCCTTTGCCCTGCTTCATTTTGAACTCCAAGGCCAAACTTCCCTGTTGTTCCTTTTATCTCTTGACTCCCTACTTTAGCATTCCAGTCCCCTATAATGAAAAGAACATCTTTATTTGGTGTCAGTTCTACAAGGTGTTGTAAGTCTTCATAGAATTGGTCAATTTCCGCCTTTCCAGCATCGATGGTTGGTGCATAAACTTGGATTACTGTGATGTTGAAAGGTCTGCCTTGGACTCGCATTGAAATCATTCTATCATTTTTGAGATTGTATCCCAGTACAGCTTTTCCCACTCTTTTGTTGACTATGAGGGCTACTCCATTCCTTCTACAGGATTCTTGCCCACAAATCTGATACAGAATAAAGAATGCAGAATAACCGATGTCATGAGAATTTTTGTAGTGTTATATTGTTCTGATGTACAATCCAGGTAGATGTAAGACATTTCCACTGTGGATGAAAATGTGTGAACTGTTTTTTTCATCAGCCTAGAATTGAGAGAAGGTGTGTTAACAAATACCATAATATACATTGCACAGGAGAAAAGCATACACCCTCCCTGCCACTAACTCTTAATTCTATACTAGAGCAGTGGATATGAAAAATAGCAGACTGTGAAGGTTCTTTTGGTGGGGCTGTCGGCACTTCTAATAAAGGACAAGACGGTTGTGGTAGATCAAATGGATCTGTATTTATTGCGGCATCAACACCAACAGGATATACCCCCAGGAAGGGTTTCAGAGTCTCTTGTAAAGTGTTACTTGGTTTTAACGGAGTCCACAAACTATTTACAAAGGGATTTGTTGTCTCTGGGTTCCAGGGTTCTGTTAGAGGTGGCACAGGTCCCGGCCCAGGGTCCAATTCTTCGTCTAATGGGATCAACGGTAGAGTTTCTTCATCCCCACTCCACTCACCCCAGGATGACCCGTCTCCTCCTTCTGCCCCCAGGGGCCGGGTAACCCCCCAACTTCCTCAGTTCGGCAATATGCCATTGCCTTTTCCTCTCCAACTCACGAGCTACAGCCTCCCGTTCCTCTTCGAGTTTCCTTCTCCACTCCTTAGCCTCCGTCTTGCCCCAATAAGAAGGACGAGGCTTCAGCCCAAGCTGGCGACGCTTCTCTGTCTCTTCATGTGGGACGCGGACTCGTTCCCACTTGTGGGTCCAGGGATCCTCCATCCAGATCCACTCCCAACCCCCCGGTATCTCCGCCTGCTTTCCCCTTATATCTCCCGCCGCGGCCTCAATCTCCTCCCTCCGTTTTCCCGCCAAAGATCTCCCAGGTTCAGGGGTAAGGGTTAACCCTTTCAGAGTCGCCTCCAAATCTCCTGTATCCACCCCTTTGCTTAGGGTAAGGGGCTCGGCGATCTCCTTTTCCCAATCAGGGGTCTCCACACCTTTCTCTTCCCGATGCGGTGGGTTCGGAGGTGGGGATGTTTGGGTGTGATGGGTTCTCTTCGGGAGCGACGGCACTCCTACCATGGCCTCCATTTTGGGGGCCTCACACAGACAATGAACAACACATGAGAAATTTTATTATATGGACATGATCTGGTTGTCTGTAACATATGTGAACAAAAAATAGTTCTTTGCGGAATATTTATCTCCGTTGAAATTGTTCTATATTTGGGTAGCAAGATGGATGGACAGTGTCATCGAAGCTATCATCCCTGCTTTGACTGTTAGGTATAGACTTCTGTCACAGCTCACCTACTATAAAGCAACAATAATGTGGGATCATATTTTTCATTACCACCCACCCCATCCAGACCTCAGCAAAACAATTTGGAAATCTGTACAAACACGATTTTCTGTTGGTGGAGCAGCTACACATTTATTCTTCATTGAGTTCTGACTCTTTGAAGGACTCCTGGCTGCCAAGCAATTTAGCTTTGACAGATGGGACAGTAGATTTCTTGGGTTGATTTTTATCCCACTTATTTATTTTTCTGTTAAAATATGTACATTGTCAGTACCTAACAACCAGGGGTATAGTTTACATCTCTTTAGGTGATAGTATTATAAAATTAGAAAACATTGACATGTCTACAAAAGCTCACATTAAAATATAGCACTTAGTCTTTATGGTGGCACAACATTTTTGTTTTCTTTATTTTTTATTTTGTTTTGTTTTTGCTTGATAGTGTTGTAAAATGGCTACCCTGTAGATCTAAATCTATGAGACTTCTACAACAAAACATTGTCTATAGGAGTACCAAAATGTACGATCTGCCTGAATGAGGATTCAAAACAACATTATTCCATGTGTAAAACTTGAAACAGTTAGTTAAAAATATGTTAATTTAATACAGTGGTGCCTTGTATAACGAGTGCACCGTTGAACGATGAATCCGCATTGCGATGCGGATTTCCCCATCGCTAATGCGAGGGCACGCTCACATTACGATGGGTGAACAGCTGTTCTGCGGCTCCAAAATGGCCGCAGGAACACAAAAAATGGGTGCCGGTACACCCAAGATGGCCGCCGGAACAAAAAATGGCCGCCGGAACACCCAAGATGGCCGCTGGAACAAAAAATGGCCACTGATACACCCAAGATGGCCGCCAGAACACAAAAAATGGGCGCCGGTACACCCAAAATGGCCACCGGGACACTCAAAATGGCCGCCGGACACTCAAAATGGCCGCCGGTACACCCAAGATGGCCGCCGGAACAAGGGGAAACATCGGAGAACGGTGAGTTTTGGGCCCATTTGGAACTCCAATTGGGGTTTTTGATCAGTTTTACGATGTTTTCCCATAGCGAAGGTTAATCCGGAACGGATTAACCTCGCTATGCGGGGCACCACTGTAAATATACTTCTGAACAAACTGAGTTGAAAAACTTCGTAGTGCTTACTTTGTATTTGAGTTGCAAGGATTCATATTTCCATGGAAAAACCAGTGCCATATCTAATAGAATAGAGTCCCATTCCTGCCCCTCATGATTTTCTCATCTACAGTATTTTGCACAGTATTTTTTATATTTAGTTGTGTACTTGATTAAGCCATAGAACTGGTGACAGGTGTATTTCAGGTTGAACCTCACCTGTTTTAAAATGTAAGTATTACTAGGCATTGTGTTTGTTTGCTCACAGGCAAAGAGGGTGTAAATGGTCTTTTACTTACATTTGGTTTGGTTCACTATACATAAAGTACTGATTGTAAGGTTCCACTCTTCAAATGTAGTTGATTATCAAATCAAATTTCATTATTCTCATTAAAGTGACATACTGGTTTGATTATTATTAGATTTAATAGTAGTGTATTAAATCTCATGGTTACTTGCTAAAATTGTAAATATGCACTAGTTCCTAATGTTATTTAAATAACAATCTGTTTATATTTATATTGAAGGAAGCATATAATTATACATGCTATGCAATCACTGGAAGACTTCATGTTTTAAGAAATGTTCTTCGTTTGACTACTTGTTTTTCATTTGTCTCCTTTTGGTTAGTCAGCTTAGGATCATATGTGAAAACCAAATTCAGCTTATTTCTCAAGGCTGTTTTATATGCAAGTTTCAGAATTTGAAGGAGCCAGATGACCTTGGTGCTATTGTGCTTAATTTAGATATGTTTCTTTTAAAAATAGTTTTTGTTCAGATTTTTTGCTAATATGTCCTGTTTGTGAAAGCAGTGTTCATTTTGTTTCCTAGAAAAAAGCTAAAGGCCAGGTGCTTTTTGACAAGGTGTGTGAACATCTTAACTTACTGGAAAAAGACTACTTTGGCTTATTGTTTCAAGACCATGCAGATCAGAAGGTAAGTTGTATGTTTTATGTTCAGGGTTAAAAACAAAGCCCTGGCAGCTTCTCTGATGCGAGGGGATCACATTTGGTTTTGTTTGCAGTCTTCTACTGTTCTGTTTTAGTTCAGAGCTTTAATCCCCTGCATAAAAGGCAACTAAGGTTCCCTCTAAGGTGCCTGTACCTCCGCCTCCTTCTGTGCAGCTTTCCTCTTCCTTCTCCACACAGCAATAGTTTTCAGCCCCTTTGATTCTGGTCATGACAAAACTCTGCACGCCTGGTGGGGCAGAGTCACAAGAGGGGCAGAACCCAGCCCAGCAGGGCTGAAAATTAGAGGGCACATTGCTTGTAACTCTAATGTTTGACCATAATATGGTAGGTAATATGTTTTTAACTGTTATACCATTTTGAATTGTGAAGGGTAGCTATTTCAGCAGTATTAGTTCCATCTACTGTACTGGCTATGCTTAGATGACCTCCACTACTATCATTTATTTATTTATTTGATTGATTGATTGATTTCTATCCCACCCATCTAGACGAAACCTCTGCTTTCATAATATGAAAGACTGGAAGCAAGCTGTAACAAGTCTCTGTTTTACAAGGCCTCTCCTCTTTGGCTTCCTTAATCTCCACACTTGAGAAGGGAAGCTTCTGCTTCTGGTTCCCAGAAAACCATACTTTCCTCAATTTTTAGGCAGAGATAAAGATAGGAGAAGGAGGGAATACTTGAATATGAAGCTTTCTGCTATTTTCTCTTGTTGTTTGGATGATTGAATGTAGCCATGGTCTCAGTCTAGTGGGACCAAAACAGAAACAAACGACCCTTGAGTCCTGTTTTCTCTAATACAGAAATCAGCAGAAACTTTGGCAAAGCCTCCCCTTGTGTATGTCAGTTGCTGCTTCTCATTTGTTCATTCCTGTGCATGAGCCAAGACACAAACAGCTGAAGGGGGGGATGTTGACTGAAAACAGTTTGCACTGTAGTTTTCGTCTCATTAAACACACATTTTGTGTTCATTTCTGATTTCTGAAGACACTTGGATTTTCAGGAAACAATTTATTACATTTCTTTTCCCCCTCCTTGCCAAATCTCATCTTGTGTTTTATGCTTTATATTTAATAACAAATTTTAGTATCTGCTAAAACTCAGACTTCATGTACTATATTTCTTTACCATTGCATCTCACCCCATTCCCAACAACTTAAAAAAGTGAAAAGTAGAATTGTTTTTTCCTTATCATGACATTTGCACAGTCCGATTCAAGTTTTCCTGTTGTGGCCATTGCTACCGCAGATTCAGATGCCACAGAGCTCTGACCTACAGTCCAGTAAGTACTACAGTAAATGTGATTGATGTGTGTTTTTTCATTCCTGGACATTCATCATAGCTGTCCATTTATGATCCAGCTGTTGTGCTAGACTGCAGCTGTAGGGTGTAAAAACTGGACGCCATGCTCTTTTTCATGAGCGTTTGAGCTGCTTTCAATTGTTACATCAGGAAACTATGAGGAGGCAAAGTTAATTAACCTTTCTGTGTAAAGTTGTATTAGATAGCAGAGTGCTGCTTAAACTGATTTGATTTTAACATTTTAAAATGAGTAAAAACAAACAACCGTTTGAATAGGAAATGTTCATAGACCACACAAAGTTATATATTGAAAGATTTGCATGTTTAATATGTTGTCATGGAAGACTTCCTCAAATTTGTATCTGTGTTCATCTGAAGATACTTCAGTCTAAATTATGGCAAAACATTCTTCTTTTCTGGATTCAAGTTTTATGATAATGCAACTGAGTAATGTCACTTCTGCCTGAAAACTATCCAGTCTGTTCATGTGTACTTAACTCTTATTATGAACAATGTTTGAATTTAATTAATTAATTAATTAATTAATTAATTTATATGCCGCCCACTCTACCCAAGGTCTCTGGGCGGCTTACAACAATTAAAATTCAATACAATAAAAATAAAATGATTAAAATACAATTAAAATTGCCATCATCAGGACCCACAGTTGATGTTATTTCAATTAAAAGCCTTCTGGAACAGGAAGGTTTTGACCTGGCGCCGAAATGTCATCAATGTCGGCGCCAGACGAATTTCAGTCGGGAGGGCATTCCATAGTCTGGGGGCAGCTGCCGAGAAGGCCCTTTGTCTACAAGCCATCCCTCTTACCTCCTTGAGGGATGGCTCTTTCAAAAGGGCCCCCTGGCTAGATCTTAACTGCCGGGTAGGCTCATATGGAAGGAGATGTGGGCTTATAAATTGAATTGTGATACTCCAGAAGAGACCTGTACTTAATATCCTGTTTTCCCGAAAATAAGACCTAACCTGAAAATAAGCCCTAGTATGATTTTTCAGGATGCTCGTAATATAAGCCCTACCCCGAAAATAAGCCCCAGTTAAGTGAAACCCCGCCCTCCACCATTGTGCAGCAACCAGAAGACATGACTGTATTTGAATAAATGTAGATTGTTGTACATGAAAAAAAATAAAACATCCCCTGAAAATAAGTCCTAATGTGGTTTTTGGAACAAAAAATGAATATAAGACCCTGTCTTGTTTTTGGAGAAACACGGTACTTATATCTTCTCAACATTATGCCATAGGCCCATGGAAGATTTATAAATGACACAATTATTTATTTGATTGTTTGTTCATTTATTTATTCATTCATTTATTTTATTCAATTTATACCCCACCCCCCTAGACAGCATCTACTCGGGGCAGCTTACAAAATCATAAAATATCATAAAATAACAATAAAAACCGAACAATCAAATGATGTAATCAATTTAATATCTATTTAAATATCTATTTAAATATTACCTCACAGCTTAACGATCTATTAAATCTCTCCTATTTAGAGAAAAAAACATTCTTCATTCATGGCAGTAATAATTTGCTGTCAAATAAGTATGTGTTCAACTTCTGTGTTCATAAACAAGAATGTTTTAAAAAATATTTCAGCGAAGATAACCAGCTTTAGTCGCACACAAGAATACAGGTGAGATTTAATGTATAAATGAAAAGAGCAAGGGAAAAGCAATTAATTAGTCCCTTTTTGAAACCATCAACCTTCTTGATAAATATATCCCATTTTAGTTCTTTCTTAACATTAATATTAGCTGAACAACAAAAAACCAATCTGAAAAATCAATTTTTAAAATGAAATAAAAATCACCTTCTTAATCCTTCTCCATTGACATCTTTGTTCAGCTGCAGAGCAACCTCAGTGAGGATTTCTGTACTTAAAGTCAAATTAAGCTTCTTTTGCCCGGGATAATTTCTTTGAACGCATTGATTTTACCCATTTATACAAAGTTGATTGTAAATAAACAACATTTTTCTAGCAAATGAGTAACCTGCAAATAGAGCTTTTATTTTTGTAGCCCAGTTTAAATCATGATGTCAGGTATATCACAGACTGATCTTAAGTGAACAGCCAGTAGCATAGCTCTGCTGTGAAATACATGTTAACTGTAACTCTCGCAATCATCACTTCAACTAATTGCTTTTCTCTTCCAGAATTGGCTTGATCCTTCAAAGGAAATCAAGAGGCAAATTCGCAGTAAGTGTTTCCTGCTTTAAGTATGCTTCTAAATTGATCTTCATTTCCGTTGACTTGTAAGTGAAATTTGCCTGTCCAGAAACAGAATTCTCTCAGTAGTGGATTGAAGCTATGATGGCCTAAGGTATTACCAGTGCATGAAGCCAGTTGTGTTTGTAAGTACTGATAATCAGGAAGGGCCAACATATCATAATATGAAGAAAATAATCAATTTGCCCTATCTGAATATGCAGCTATGCGTAGAAGTCATAACAGCACAGTGAGGAGGCTCCCTAGGCAATACTGTTGTCAGTGACTGCATGGTGCTAGAGTGCGATTGAAATTCTAGCCTTAAATGAGGTAGTGATAGAGAATCCAGCATGCTTTGTTTTTAAAGTAGTCACTGTGCACTGAAACAGGCTCATGGTGTCAACATGGCGTACTGGCCATGCACTTGTATGATCTAGCCATGACTTCTCCGCTTTTGAGTTCTACATCCTCACAGTCAGAAATGCTTTATCCTTCTATATTGCTATGCAGTGACCACCAGCTGTTTTGTAATTATGCATCTGTGCCCCTTGGCCATCAATTGTGACCACTGGACAAGGTGGCTACCTGGTTTTCTTCTTTCCTTCCTTTCCCTTCCCTTCTGTGTCAAAGATGTCAGGGAGTGATACAGACAAAATACAGTAGTGCCTCGCTTAACGAGCGCACCGTATAACAATGAATTCGCATAGCAATCTGTTTTTTGGGATCGCTAATGCGAAGGCATGCCGACGGTCGCAATGGGCAAAACTCGCGAAACGCTTACCGATCTTTGCATTGTGACGTCGGGGGATCAGCTGGTCGGCGGTTCCAAAATGGCTGCCGGACGACCCAAAATGGCCGCGCACAGTGTTTTCGCGCCCTGCCCTCGCTTACCAAGGGCGCGAAAATGGCTGCCGCTATGGAGGAACATCGCTGAACGGTGAGTTTTGTGCCCAGTGGGTTTCCCCGTTCCATTTAGTGATGTTTCCCCATAGCGAAGGTTAATCCGGAACGGATTAACCTCGCTATGCGGGGCACCACTGTAATTTTAAAGCAATGTGAAACATTGTAAAACAACAACAGACAGTACTGGGTTGCCAACTCTTAGTAAGGAGTATTCAGGCACTTCCTCTGTTATGAAGCACAACAAATAGTTTTTCACACTTAAATTATAGTTATGTCAGGCTTGCTCAATATATCTCAGTTAAAGTGTTCCAGTGTTGTTATGCCTGTCTACAAGCAAGACTATTTCTTTAGCTATATATTCTTCAATAGAGATTACTCAGATGCAGAGAAGTATCTGAAACAAAGCAACTACAGTGGTGCCCCGCTAGACGATTACCTCGCAAAACGGTTTATTCGCTAGACAATGAGTTTTTGCGATCGCTATAGCACTTCGCAAAACGGTGTTTCTTATGGGCGATTTTCACTGGACGATGCTTCGGCCCGTGCTTCACAACACTGTTTTTTTTTAACCGTTTTTCGCAAGACAACGATTTTGACAGCTGAGTCCACGCTTCACAAAACGGTTTTTCTATGGGCCATTTTCGCAAAACGAAGACGATTTTCCCCCATTGGAACATATTAAATGGATTTCAGTGCATTCCAATAGGGAAACCGCATTTCGTAAGACAATGTTTTCGCAAAACAGCAATTTTCGCAAAACGAATTAACATTGTCTTGTGGGGCACCACTGTACCTTGTCTGTTATAGTGTGCAGTAGGATCTACTTTTTATATATACTTTCAAGTTTGATAATTATGAAGAAACTGGGAAAAATATGGAACATGGAATCTCTCTCGAAAATTTGCAGTTTTTTGTGATTGCCTGGAAAAAGATGGCTGAGAAGGTGGGGGCCAGTGTCTACCAAGTGCCAAAGGGGAAAAAACACCCTGCAACTTAACTCTGTCAGAGAGGGCATCAGAGCCAGTCTGTTTCCTCTCTTGAGCTATGCAGATTGAAGGAGGATTATAGCTGTGTGAAAGGAATGGGTTAGAAAGTGCTCTTCTCTTTGTGAATATTCGAGAGAATTTGAATGTTGATTAGACTGGAGCAGATTTTTTGATGAACGGGTCTTTTGATGTATAAAAGGGGGTCAAAAATCTAGGTAGATGGCTCAGCTTGACTCTAAGAGAGAAGCTTTGCTCAGCTGCTATCCTGTAATGCCTGGAAGGATGCACTCTGTCTGCCTCAGAAGCACACTGATTCTACACTAACATCTGAATATTAGGTAGATTAGTTTGACTATCAATTTCTGGTTTGTTCTCTTCATTGCCTTAGCATTGTCTCAGAATTGTGCTTGCTCCAAGTGTTCTTTGAAACTTTATGGAAACTGTTGCCTTTTATCTTGTTTACCTTTCTTTAAAAATAAAATACAAAAAAAAAATTTCAACCAGCTGTCAGAGTTTCTGGCTCAGAGGGTTTGTGGTACCAAAACCAGGCCTTGACCAACTGCCAAGAATTCTAGTACTTGTGTGGGTATGGTGGGAGCTGTACCTTGCAAGGTAGGTGCATTGTTTCTAAGTGCCTAGCTTTGTGGATTTTTTTTTTACTCCTTAGAAACACTGCCGTCTAAGTAAACTGGAGTATTGGAAGGATCTGGCACCAGGTTGATTTCATAGTCTTCACCACAACTAACTCTCCTGGCTTCATCCACTTCAAAATAATTAAAGTAGTGTGGTTGGAGAGGGAGCCCCCGTATCAGTAATCTTGCTGTAGAAAGCCACAGCATGAATATATATGGTATGCAAGAAAATGTTTTGTGGTTTACACAATGAGCAATAAACTGCCTTGTGCTTTGATCTCAGCCTTTGCTTTTTCCTCCATATGTATGCATGCAATTAAAGAATCTCTCTCGGAAGAAGGACGAATAATATGAAATTCACAATATCTGAGACAAGTTGCATTCACACCCCAGTATTAGCTGTTCTTTTGGATTTTCATGTCATCCCTTCTATTTTCATCTTAAAAGATTTGTAAGCAGGGTACCATAGTATGAAAGTGCCAGGTTGCCATTTGGTAAGATGTCTCTTACATGTTTGATTTTACTATCAGGAGCAAGAGATATATGAATAAAGCAGAGCACGTCTCCTGCATTTATATGGCAAAACATATAATAACCATTTGAAGATTTTCGTAAGATTATTTGACTGTGAAGGGGCATGAAGTGGAGTAGCTTCTTTAAAACAGGAAGAGGAAATAACATATTCCTTCCAGCAAGCCATGCCAATTAATGATGAGAAGGGGCTGGCTTCTTTCTTGATTATCTGATTTTCAAGAGACCTTTCAGGTGGCATACTTGGCTTTTGTGAAGTATTCTTTTAATATGTTATTATTAATAGGAGACATTTATTTAAACTTCTAGCTTTACCACTATCAAAACATTCTAATTGATTCATCATCATTGTCTGTATTCGTTGACATAATAAATGTTCTTTCTTCTTAGATATTTTAAACTATTGCTACACATCTTGATCTTTGTTAATCAAGTTGATCTTACAAAATCATCTAGTATGAGAGACACTGGAAGAATATTGGAGGTCTTGATAGATTATAGATGTAAATACAACATTTCATCAGTTGGATAGGATATTATGAGATTTCATACAGCAGAACCATTGCACAGTCAAATCTGCTGTCAGTTTACTATCAGTTGCCATTCCCACATAGCTGCTGGAAGTAGTACCGTATTTGCCGGCACACAAGGCAACCGGCCGTATAAGATGCCCCCCCAACAGGAGGAGGAAGAGGGAAAACAGGCGGGTGGCAGGCGAGCCAGCCCACGGCTGGCTCAGTGGCACGGAGCGGCGGGCTCTGGCCGCTCAGGCATGGCATGCTGTGCTTCCCTCCCTCCATCCAGACTGCCTGCCTGCCTGCCTGCCCGCCTGCCCCCCCCCCACTTGGAGGCATGGTTTCCTCATTCAGTGCACCCGGCGTACAAGACGACCCCCCCCACTTGGAGGCATGGTTTTTGGGCCCAAAAAGTCATCTTGTACGCAAATACGGTATTCAAAACTTCAAAAAAGAAGTTATCAACACTACCACCCTTTTTTCTGCTTTATGGTAAATTAAGGAAAATCTACCAGAAAAAAAAATTGAATACAATGTGAACAAGAACACATCCTTGTCTGATAGCTCAAGCGGTAACAATCTCATTAATGGCAACAATCAAGAGTTAACAATCTCATTAGTGAGACTTCCTTAATTACTGGAGTTAAACCTGTATGGATGAGTTATGATGCTGTGGTAAGATTAAAAAAAAAAACAAGCTTTCTGTCTATTTCAAAGATAATTATAAGACACACTATGAAAAGTCTATTTCAAATTTATTAAAGCTATAAAGAGATTGTCAACTTTGGGACAGAATATTAATGCAGCAGCTGGACCAGCATCAAGAAATCACCAAGATTGGAGTGACCTTCTTTGAAGCTGATCTTCTCTTTCTTGAAAATGTCATTGTCACTAATCCTTGCTTTTAATTTGAGACCTAAAAAGCTGCCATTAACTTCCTGACAGTACATAACAGGCTAAAAAGTCAAAAATTAAAAGGGTCATTGTTCAGGCCTTTGTTGCTGGGAAAAATAAGTCTCCTGACTGGTTTAAATATTGAAACAAGATCCCATATAACAATATATTCAGTATGGTGATTCACAGATATGAGTCTAAAATTCATGCAAAAAGAAAAGAAAGAGTAAAATAACATTTAAAATTACAGTAACAGCATCCAGGGGATAAGTTATTGAGGATAGCTTTGTATCATTCTGTTATCACTAATTTCCTGAACATCAGGAGAGAAGGAGCCTGACATATCTCAAGTCATTAGCTTATTCAAAGGAATGGGTGCCGCCACCAAAAAGACCTGATTCCATACCAGCACAAAACTCTGAATTAAATTTCATGCCTATATCTAGTCATAACCAGTACCTTGAATAGGCTATAGAACTGACAGTGAAGGTGTGTCAAGACTGGAAATATATGACCAAATTTACTAATCC